ACTAAATTAAATAGTGTAGTCGATAAGACGTATACTTGTTTAGTGCCTTGATTTTTATAGCAAACTTAAAATTTCTGACTATTTGCATAAATCATATTTTTCGTTTTGTCTATCTTAAGGCCGCGTCAGACATGCGATATTTGGCAAATACTGAACAAGTGCTTGTTAAATATCAAATATTTGAGTACTCATGAAAGTATTCGTATAAAATGAACACAAAAGTACAGAAAGGATAGTGAATCAGCGCTTCTTATAAATTTAACTGGTTTTGTCATTATGTCTGGTGGAAGTTTATTATTAAACAGCAGAAAAAAAAGCAAAGAAGAAGAAGATAGTGGATAGTATCACTTAATCAAAGTAGACTATTAAAATGCAAAAAATTTTATTTGCATGTGCGTAGTAACAAGACAATTTTGTTAAAATGCATATGTTTAAATTCGGGTATAGTGGCACAAACAGATTGGCAGACTTGTTAAAAGAGCCATCTAGAAAATTTCAATATTTCTGTCGAATGTCCAGTAAGAATTTTAATTATCTGCGTTCTAAAGTGAGAGTAATTATTAGTAAGAAAGATACAAAGCGAAGAAATGTGATTCCAGCAAATGAGCGCCTTGCCATAGCTCTCCGATTTCTAGCAACAGGAGATAGTTTCAAAAGCCTTCACTACTTTTTAAAAGTTTTCCCACAAGTAATTTTTCAGATAGTTTCTGAAGTTTGCCATATGAATTAATATTTGTGATGAGAGTAACAGAATGCTTAGTGAATGTGAGTTTTTCTGCGATCAGTTCTCCATATATAGTATAAACATTTTGATCTTTTGAGTTTGTTAGCTGCATTTTGTAAAACAGTATATTCCTTGTTCACTTTATGTTTTACGTCCTGTATGTCCTTATCATCAGATAATTTAGACTTTTTCCGTACAGGACCCTGAAGAGTAGTCTTCTTTATTGAAGGCAATATCAATACAAATTTACAATTATACATCTACCATAAATTCATTTTCTATAGTGTACTGTTCAATGTCTTGGCTGTACTCTTGGTCAACAATATGGACATTATCAACCGTATTATTATCAACGCTTGTTTCACAAAACAAAATATTTTTATAGAACTACATAATTATCTTTTTTTAGTTTCCAATAAACAAGAATGATTGGAAAATTGTTGCAGACAAATTTGAAAGGGGTTGGAATTCTGGATCTGAATACTACAAATTCTAACTCTGGTTCTAACGGCAAATATTTGACTGAAAAATATTAAAATAAATAACATTGCAGACGAAAAACTTTGTAAAAAAATGTTAAAATGAAGTGAAATTTAAAAAAAAAAAGTATGAAAAGCATACAGTTAGTCACTTTCCAGGTTATTTTTAACATCACAGGTATACTATAGTCGGGGTCCTGCGAGCTTAACAACGCCTTACTGACTAAACTCATCCGAGATAACTTCTGATTGATAAAGCTTTAAAAGATCCTGTTTTTCCCAATTATTTTTGTTTCTTGTCTTATTTTTCATTATTACTTTTGACAGCACCTCTAAGACAAAAAGTCCTTATACTTGTTGCGTTCTGCACATACGATGACCTCAATATAACAATTAAGGTCATCCTGAAGGGGGAGAGATATTCTGTTCAATCCAGAACTCGCTGGTTTCCCCCTTTCGAAATGAGTATGTATATTAAACTAAAGAAAAGAAATTAAAGCCAGTGGACTGTATAAAACTCTATTTTGAAAAGGTGTAAAATTAAACATAAATATACATAACCAAATACTTATACCATTATAATTAAAGTAGAATATATTACTTAAAAGAAGAAGAATATATTACTTAAAAGAAGAAGAATATATTACAAACCTAACTATTACCTACTATGAAATACACCAACAAACACACCAAAAGACAACCATAAACAAGACCAAAACAAAAAGATGTCGATTCTATTAAAAACCACCGACAAAACAAAAGACAAAACCTACCATAGCAGCAAACATACTATACATAAAAGATACAAAAACAAATTAATCATATTACAAAAAAAATACATAAAAATATGGATTTATATGTCATTGATATAAAAAAAGTAATAATGCGGTAGCATACAAATAATTAATTAATAGAATTATTAATAAAAAGCACACAAGAAATAAAATCGGTATTAACAAAGTACAAAAATATACAATACAGTATGTAAACCGCGAAACAAATGTAAAATGTCCAATTGACACTGTTCAATCGCGATTGCGGCACAAATGAAATAATGTTCCAAAAAAGTTATCAAATAAATATACCAAGTGCGCGTACTTGATATATGCAGCAATCGTATATAAATGGTGTATTTTTCCTTACCCCATGAAAAAGATAGCCCCAACGCTATCGTAAATTGTGTCTTCAGCGACACTTCCACTACCAAAGTTTTCTGTTGCACATTAGCGTCTTTTTTCGTCAAAAGACCGCTACGGAGTCAGGTACTCTTCGTCTTCACATACATGTCTGCATCGGTTGAGAGATGCATTTCGACTCTTCTTTTCTATGGAACGCAAACCCTTATTTTAGATACACACACATGTGCTGATATTTCGCAGATGGCCCGCCTTGCAATCTTTAGCCCTTAAAACGGCTGTGTCACTTACACGAAAATCTGGTTTAAAATATACGAGGAGAATAGAAACTAACAAAAAGACTGTTCATATTTAATAAATGTTTATGTATCGTTGCGAAACTGCAACAATACTTGAGTTCTATAATATATGATTTCTTGCCAGATCTACACGTTCTTGCAATAGGTACGGAAAATATTAAGGCAGTCATGCATGACATAAACTGGAACATACTTTTGCCCATTTCTAAACACTATGTATGCTATCTACTTCAATGTAGCTATGTTCGCTTACGAAAAATTTCTTTTCTGACATTTGCATTTGAAAAGTTCTTCTAATAATTTAATTTTATCTAACTCATTTATATTGACAATTCAGACATATACTAAACATTTTAAAGCGAACGACTTTAAAATTTTATTGCCAATATTACTGAGTTGCGTTCCTGGGACGACTTTATTGTAAGATGGTTCATTCGATTACATGAAATCAACATTAACTTGAGACTATCTGTCAGAAAAAATCATAGCATATGATTCGTCTTTGACCACCACATGCCATTGATGACAGTAAAATTCTCTTGTTAGTGATTCCATAGTAATAAGAATTTTTCACCAAGTATCAAAAAACAAAAATTGTTTAATTTATTATTGTTTTGTATTTAAGGAACGATTTCGGAAATGCAGATTGAAACGTTAGTAAACTTATTTTAAACTTCAATTGTGGTTTATTCCCATTAAAATAGTAATTATTTTAAAATGATGTCTCCACCTGCTTGTCATTGACCGCTGCTCCATTTCTATTCTTCGTCCTTACAGAAAATATCTTTCTGCTAGTAATGTAACGTCCATTTCTCATGTCTTTGTTATAAAAATTGTATTCAGTTCTTCCGATATGTTGTAATTTATATATCCTCTTTTTGATGTGGTTCCCGTAATTTATCTATATTTTGACTAGTCTTTTGCCCCAGCAAATTGTTATTATCTAACCACTCTTCTTCTGATCATTCAATTATAAATGTGATATCTGTCCACACATTATCTATGTCTTTATGTTGTCTTGTGAAAAAAGAACTAACGTATTTTAGAAACATTAGTTGTGTTACGAAAATGGTATTATGAAAACTGCACATTAACTTATATTATAATTATAAGACGTGTTTACAAAAAAATGATCATATAGTTATTCAGAAATCTTAAACAATTTTTTAAAAGTCTAATTACACTAAATTATACCATCGGCAAGTCACATGCTTTCACATACGCCCAATGTTATAAAATATTATAATTTATAAATACTACTTTCTTTTTGCAAAAAAATCAAGTCAGATGGCACTCACCAAATCAATCGCTAATTAATTATTATTTAATTTGCTATTCTTAATCTAAATGTCAAATAAGATCAAATAAATTAGAATAGAAAAACAAATTACAATGCTTTCTAAATTGTTTTTACAATATTAATTTGTTGCTGCATATCTTCTGTCTCACATTACAAAGCATATTTAAATGCAAAAACAATGTAAGATTAATTTGTTTCCCTGTTTATTTGTTTATTTAAAATTGACTTCTACATAAGAGTTTTGGGTAAATTATACTTATACGCTTATTATATTTCTATAAACATTTGTTTGTCTATAACACCATAAAATGGGATAACATATGACATAATGGCATTTTTCCAATAATACTGGTAATTTTAAAACAGGAAAAATATTAATGACAAGGCGAACAAACGTATGTATATGTTATATAGTCTAGGCATAGAAAACCATCTTACTTGCCAACATATCTCAGGACACTTCAGGGACGATCTCTATTTCACAAGTCAAAATTAATATCAATATTTTGATAGCAAGCAGTTCAGCCTGAGATGAACTATACAGCCTGCAATTTCAACGTGCTCTAGCATAGTGATGTCTGAATTCGAATTAAAATATTCGTTTAATCCGAATATTCAATTACTCGGATTAATCCGATTATTTTTTGACGATACGAATACGAATGCGAATACTATTCGGATGTCTTGTGTTGAATTCCCAGTCGATACAGATTACGGTTACAGATCCGAATAAAAACGGTCTACTGGTTTCGGCATCTCCTTTCAGATTCGGAATGTTGGGAAAGCGACTCCGTCAAGTCAATGCAAAAGTAACGGGAACGGTTATATTTTCTTGAACTGTTATACGAATTTAATAATTGTTAATGTTATGATAGAACTGCTTGGTGCGTTTATTTATTAAAAACAAAAATAATCAGGTTTTAAAGAAAATATTTAGTAAAAAGTAAAATAGTAACAATATAATAAATCAAATTGTCAAAATTAAAACAATACATATATAAAAAAAGAAAAAATTTATTAAAAAAAAATTACAAAATTTTTAAATAGAAAAGAAATATTAATTTATAAACAACCATTTAAAAATAAAATCATGTCCAAATTTTTTGGCGCTAATCTGTTTCTTCTTAAGTTGGTAAGTTGTCCGGCTTTCGAGAATAGTCGTTCACTAGGTACAGATGTTGCAGGTACACATAAATATTTTAAATGGAGGCGATATAATTCGGGCATACTATTTTTATGCTTCTCCCAAAAATCTAAGGGATTATCGGACCTAGGACAGTAAGGTAATTCTAAATACTGTCTTACACAGAGAGCTGCTGAAGTAGATGGTGTTGTTTTAGTTTTCACTTTTGCTAACTTTTGATCAAAATGTGACCAGAGACAAATTTTTGAGGAGGTTGGCACAACATTATCAGACTCGCTTGGTTTTGTAACCTGTTCTTGTCGATCGCTTGCTTCATCAGCATTTTCGAAAGTGGCAGAGATCATTGATGTAAGCTCATCAATAATCCATGATTGAGCATTATTCGCATTTGCTTCTAGACCGAAACCAGTTTTTTTAAATCGTGGATCTAAAAATGTACTTTTTGCTACTATTTTGTTTTCCTCCAGAGACCCTAAACGCCTAGAAACGATTTCGATCAATTGATTTTGCAGCCATAATCCAACATCTGTCATAGGTTTTAAATCTTTTATATGCCACTGTAAACCTCGAACTAAAGGAACTATAAGAGACATAGTTATATATTTTTCTGCAGATAGTTCACTGGTTAATAACTCCATAGGTTTTAAAATTGGTACACAATCTATCACTATGGCCCATTCTGAAGCATCTAGATTTTCGGGTGCTGCAGGCAAATTTGTGAGGGCTATGGTTAAACTGTCTTTAATTATTAAAAGTCTTTCCAACATTAACAAAACAGAATTCCACCTGGTATCTACAGCTTGCTTCACTTTTAACACGGGTAAGTTCATTTGTTCCTGACAGTTTTTTAATTTCATTGTAGCAAGTCCACTATGCTTAAAATATCCTACTAATCTTTTACTTTTTATAATTATATTTTTCAGAATTGCATTGCCATTTAGAGATTCTTTGGTACTCAAATTTAGCGTATGAGCTACACAAGGATGATGGTTTTTTCGCAAATGTTCTATAATTGCATTTTTTATATTCGAGCCATTATCAGAAATAAATGTTACTATCTTATTGTCCAAATTCCAATCTTCAATGCATTTAGATAAATGATCTGCTACATTTCGACCAGTGTGATGCTCCTGCTCCAATTCTTTGACACTTAAGGTTTGAGAACATAATTTCATGTTGTTTATAAAATGGCAGGTCACTGAAATGTATGACTTGTTGCTGTCTGACTGCCAAATATCTGTGGTTAGAGAAACATATTGTACAGTACCCAACAGGGTTTTGATTTTTGTTTGAATTTCCACATATTTTTCTGGTAATAGTCTATTTGTTAAAACTTGTCTACTTGGTAAGGTGTATAATGGGTTTAACTTTTTGGTATATTCTATGAAGCCACGATTTTCCACAATAGATACAGGTTGAAAATCTGTAACGATTAATTTTAATAAACTTAAATCTAAATCAGTCTTTTGTTTTTCTGACAGTTCATTTGTGTTCTTGGCACCATAAATTTTTAACTGTTTTGCACGTTTGGCGACGGGTTGCGAATATTTAACACTAGCACTTCTTTTTGAAGATGTTGAGACTTCCACTGTGTTATAATAAGGAGCATTAGAACTACTCGATGTAGAAGCAATCTCAGTTTGAGGGGTCACTGCTGGCGCTGGATTTTCATTAAATTGTATTCCTTCACTTTCTTCTACTTCATTATTAGGAACGAAACTCTCTTTGTTAAGTTCTTATATTGCAAGTTATGTTTTCGCATAACATGCTGCTTTAAATTACTTGTACTTGCAAAGTACTTGAGTTGTTGAAAGCAGAATTTGCAAGTAACAAGACTCTTATCTGTAGCAGATTTATTAAAAAAAATCCATACAATGGACTTTTTTGCTGGTGCCATTTTTTTTACACGACTTTTACACTTTTAACACTACTTTATTTAATAAATATTCTAAGCATACACTGAACACTAGTCCCAGAAAAGGTTAAGCAACACCGTCTTACTTAATAAAATGTATTACTGTGTCTTATCACCCAAATTATGGGATTTATGGGAGACGTTAGTTAGAAATAAAGAAGAGGTGGACGATAATTTATATTAAGAAATTCACATAAATTATATTTAGTAAATAAAAAACTGAAATATATACCTTTTTTCTATTAGTGCTTGTTATTCATTGTTTATGAAATAATTAATCATAATCATAATATTATATCCTAATTAGATTAACTGTTACACCGAAACGGTTATCCCATCTTTAACTTGTTCCTTTTTCGCCTCTGCCAACTGTAATGTTCACAGTAAGCACCGTATACGCACGCTCTACTCTGACTTCACCCACTTATGTCGTCCTCTTTGAATTAATTCGGAATCGAATAATTAATCCGAGTATTTAGATAATTCGAATACGTTGAATCCGAGTATTGAAATCATCCGAATATCTACATCATTACTCTAGCACACCCAAAGTTCATCATCCATATCGGAATATAAGAATAATACGTCTGATCTATAAACTAGATTACGTCTGATCTAATAGAGCAGGCTAGAGCAGCTTTTAGAAGGATGTCCAAGGTGTTATGTAACAGAGACCTAAAATTGGCATTAAGAATCCGCCTACTTCGCTGCTACGTGTTCTCGGTCTTACTTTATGCTGTCGAGTCCTGGACTGTGAATAAAATCGATCTAAATCGCCTTGAGGCTTTCGAAATGTGGTGCTATAGAAGAATTTTAAAAGTTTCCTGGGTGGAGAAGATTCGTAACTCCACAATACTTGAACGTCTCAGCAAGACTACTGAGATTATAAAAAGCATCAAGCAGAGAAAGCTGGAATATTTCGGACATGTAATGAGAGGTCCCAAATATAGATTGCTACAAAATATCATGCAAGGAAAAATATCAGGCAAACGCAGTCCAGGACGAAGAAGAACCTCATGGTTGAAGAACTTGCGAGATTGGTATGGTGTAGATACAAGCATGCTATTTAGGGTGGCAGTCAATAAAATTAAAATAGCTATGATGGTAACCAACGTTCTGAAAGGACATGGTACATGAAGAAGAAGATCTATAAACAAGTTTTTTTTATTTGTTTGTGTTTTATGAACTTATCTAAACAATTTTAGGTTATTTTATTATTAGGAATGGTCTAGGAAAATTGAAAACAATATTTAAACATAAACTTAAAAACAAGAGACAATTTTTACCAATCAGGATATGTGTGTGTGTGTGTGTGTGTGTTTACAAACTAGACAAAATATAAGAAATATATAAAATATAATAGGAGGACACAACTGAAAGCAAGTGGCACGAAATAGAAAACACTGGGTTGATTTGTTTGGGGGAGGCCTATGTCCAAAGTTGGATTATTTAAGGCTGAAGAAGAAGAAGACAAAATATATTTCATCGCATTAGACAAAAATATATTTGCTACACATTATTAATTATATGAAACACTTGAACCTATGCCACTATTTCTGCCTTTCTCATAAAATTACTGATGGACTCACGTAACCCGTTTTTCAAAGAAAGAAGTATAGCTGTAATATTTAGCCGCAATGCAAACTCATTATAAATTAGTTTTTGATACAGGCTTGAAAATAACTAAAAGGTTAAAACACATTCGGGGATTAGATGGCTTTCATCACCAAAACAGGAGATTTAAGCATTCCAATTTAGTTTTAAACGAGTCAGTACTGACATCTGTGGTCTATTATAATTACAGGTGAAATGAGTAATGTAGGAAGTGAAGGGTAAATGCTAAAATAATGATTTGTCGATTTATCAACCTCATGCATTCCAATAGAACGAAACAGAAGGCAAATAAAAAATATTGGGTATACCAAGTAACTGGTGCAATATTCTCAGCCTTTTCAGTGTCTTCATTAATTTCGTTATTTGTTTTTTTTTCTTCTTGAAATTTAACACGTCTTTAGCGTTGCTGACTAGTTTGCTGATATTTTTTAATACCAGCAAGAGATGCGCTACGATTAATCAATCGCTTTCTGTTATAAGGCCAATAAAAAGGTCTACGGACTTTAATACTTTTATCATTTGGAATACACAATGTTGTGTCCCTTCCTTTGCCTTCACATTTTGTTTTTAAAGTCTACAAACTGGAATATTTTGGAACGAATTGACCAAGCCCAGATTAGAAGCAGAAAACAAAATGTGAAGGCAAAGGAAAGGACACAACATTGTGTGTTCCAAATGATAAAAGTATTAGAATCCGTAGACCTTTTTATTGGCCGTATAACAGAAAGCGCTTGAGTAATCGTAGCACATTTAAACTGTATTTTAAATAATAATTTTTAAACAAATTAAATTTATAATTAAATGTCTAAGCGGCGTTGATTTAGAACCACATGGTTTATTACCTCTTCTTCATCTATTTGAATGTCCTGTTGGATAAATATCAAAGCTAGACCATTTAGTCCTTTTTATATACTTTATATACTATTCTTTATACATTTTTTTACTTTATATGCCCCAGGGGTTTAACCCCCAAACTTCCCCTCCGGGTGCGCCACTGGACAACATATGTAGATTTACCCGAATCTTATTAAAAGGATATACTGTTTAGAATTAAACAAACAGATTTATTCTCAAATCTTAAATAAATAAATGCAGCACTCCCAAATAAATAAACTCTAGGCGGTGTTTTAGGTCCACCTTTGGACCTTTGGATCTACTGTATAGTAATAATATCGCTAATTAAAGAAAATAACTACAGCTACTTTTGAAGAGAACTGAATATTATTGGCTTTTGAAAAGCTACATTGCTATATCCACAAAAAAAATTAATTAGAGAACGCATCTGACAAGTTGTCAAGGTGCAAGTTAAATAAAACAAAATCAGTACACACTAATTTTACAAATAAAATAGTAATAACCAAAGCAGTAACACTGTAACGAAACATTTTGAATTAAAACTAGATCCCAAGATAAAATGTAAGGCTCACGTAAACAAAATCAATTATAAAAAACAAGCAATACTATTGGTTATTAGGTAGACATTCACAATTTACATAACAAATATAATTTTATTACACTTTAAACTAAAACCAGATTTTTAAGATCATATGACTTTAAGGTGGCTATTTTATTTTCTTCAGAATGAAGATAATATTATCGTTAATTGGAGCTACTTGATATAAAATATAATAGAATTAATGATCTCCAGGAACTAAACTAAACAGAAAAAATAGTTCACAGAAATTTAAAACCATCAGGCAACTCATATGAGGAATTTTTTTTGGTAATGGAAAGATGTAAATCATTACAAGCAGTATGTTATAAGAACTATTTAGAGAATATTCAAGCAATTCTTTTAAGTAATCCCCGGTCTTTTTGGAGGCATGTAATATCTTATAAAGGTGGAGATGTAATAGCTCAGAATGGTGATAAAATAGTGAATATATTTGGGAGTTATTTTTCATACATATAATAATAGTGAGTATAATTTACCTAATTTTGAATTGCACTGTAGTGTGGATTTCCAGATTCTAAAATTTAGTCTGACTGATGTTTTCGAGACGATTATGAGTTTAAAGACAACACATTCTTCAGGGCCTGATGGTATACCTGCAGCACTTATTAAGAACTGTATTTTTCCCTTTTGTAAACATTTACAAGAAATTTTCAATTTATCATTGCCATCATCTATATTTCCACAATATTGGAAAAATAGTTTTCTTATACCTATCTATAAATCTGTCAATCTGGATAGATTTAATCAGCAATTTGGAAACTTCTTAATAACTTGGTAACGATAATATCATCTGGGCTCGCAGAAACATAATTATTGATGAACAACATAGATATTCTAACTGGAAGTCAACAGTAACAAACATTGTCAATTACCAACAATACTTGTTGGGTGAATTTGAGATTGAAATTCAGGTCAACAGCATTTACACTGATTTCTCAAAGGCCTTTAACCAGGTTAATTATTACCTTTTGGTCCAAAAACTTCATTCATCTGGCTTTGATGACCTCATTGATAATTGGAATAAAAGTTTTTTGATGGGACGTACACAGCAAGTTCGTATTAATAATTATATTTCAAAAGAATTCCATTGTTGTTCTGGTGTCCCACAAGGGTCTCATTGTGGACCCTTTTGTTTAACTTGTTCATTAACGATATTGCTAAGGCTATCAAAAACTCATACTTTCTACTTTGTTGAAGTTATTTCGTTGTATACAGGATAAATCGGATAAAGACCTCTTGCAAAATGATGTAAATAATATATATTTGTGGTCAAAACAGGTTTAAGCTTCTTTTTCTTCAGTTGCCATCTGCGCTACGGAGGTTGGCAATCATCATAGCTATTTTAGTTTTTGAGCAGTAGCTCGAAATAGTTGTTTTGAGCTGCATCCAAACCATTCTCTCAGCTTCTTAAGACGTGAAATTCGTCTCCTTCCGATGCTTCTTCTGCCATCTATCTTACCGTGCATTATGAGTCGCAGGATGTAATACTTCTAGCCCCATATCACATTTCCTAGATTCCGTAGCTTTCTTTATTTAATTGTAAGTTTAACTTCTTTCTCTTTACCTAATCTTCTCAGTACTTCATTGTTTGTAACTCTCTTTACCCAGGAAACCCTCATAATTCTTCTATAGGTAAAGATTTCAAAAGCGTCAAGTCGTCTCATTGTGTCTCGATTTAATGTCCATGATTCCACTCCATAGTATAGTACACTGTATACGTAACATTTTGTTAGGCGTACTTTAAGAGCTAATGTTAAATCTTTGCCACATAGGACCTTTTTCATTTTCATAAAATTAGAACGTGCTTTTCCGTTTTTGACTTTGATTTCTGCAGTGTGGTCATTATTTTTGTTATTAGTGTTCCTAGATAAGTGTACTTTTTACTCTTTTGATCTGCTGGCTCTCTACTATCATGATTTTATTAGTATTATGGTTGTTTTTACAAATTTTCATAAACTTTGTCTTATTACTGTATCAATCTGCATATCTGATGTTGTTAACTAAGACTCCATTTACTCTTATGCCGACTGTTTCATCTTCCAGAGTTTCTCGAATTACCTCTTCAGAATAAGCGTTCAGTAATAGCGGTAATAGTATGCAGCCTTGTCTAACTCCTCTCTTTATCTCCATTTCTACAGATGTCTCTTTTTCAATTCGTACTATTGCTCGCTGATTGTAATAAAGATTTGTTATTAGCCTTAAATCTCTAAACTTAAGTTTAAGCTTAAATCAAACTAAATGTTCTTGTACTTCATTTGGTAGTATTAATAATCTAATAGCTAATAGATATGTTCTTAATGATGTACTCTTGGACTCAGTTACTGAGATTAGAGATTTGGGTGTATTATTCGATTGTGCATTGACATTTAGAAGCCATTTTCTTAAAATTAAGAAAACAGGATTTCGTAATCTCGGTTTTATTTATGTAACAGTCATGATATCTCACCTATTGTATTCAAATTATTGTATTGCTCGCTGGTATTTATACGCTAAGGTCTTGAATACTGCTCTGTTATTTTGGTCCCCATTTCATCAAGTATAGATTGCTGGATTGGAGAGCGTTTAGCGGAAGTTTTTAAGACCTTTTGCTTTTAAAGCACATAATAATATAAGAAATACTGAAAATTATTTCATATATTATTTTGTCATAATGTCACAGCTTACAATTGCTACATTAAAGAACCGCACGTTGAGAGCTGATGATATTTTTGTTTAAAATTCTAAACAACGTTATCAATTGTTCCCCGTTATTAGCCAATGTGTGCTTAAATACAATACATAGAACTCGACACACTGCACTTTTTTATATTCCTTTTTATAGAGCTAATATTATACTCGTCATTTTCCCTTGTCGAAAATGCTCAGTTCTTGCAATGGCCTCCTATTGAATCCATTCTGTCCAAACTTTAATATTTTCAAAAGGTAAGTTAAGAGTCTAATTAATCTAAATATGTGATATTTTTTTCACTTTGATACACTGCTTTAACCCTTAACTTGGCAACGTATGTTATAATATACATAATATTTCAAATTTTTTATTTGACAATCAATAGTATTTGAAACCCAGTTCTTGGCACTGTATAGTTGAGTACACACTACCGTAAGTAGCCGAGTGGAAATCAGCCCGAAAATTCTTAGTTTCGCGCATTTAGTTCTGATGGTATGGATACAGTCTCGACAAAATGGCTGAGCACGCGCGTTGTTCCAACCAACAAGTGGTAAGTGTTTATATTAGTTAATTGTTTTTCATTGTACAGTGCTAATTTTTTGGGAACTTATTTTTGAAACATTATACTGTTTATGTATAAACAAATTTTTGGTGTAATGTTAATATTTTTTCAGCAAATCCATTCAAAACTTTATGTATTGTATAGTATACACCGCCCGATATGGCTTATTTGACATTAATTTTTTTTTCAGACTAAAAAAAGGAGAATTGATAGAATAATGGCTCTTTTGCCTCCAGTTGGTGCTGAAAGCGACCCAGAGAGTAGTAGTGATGACGAACAAGAGGTATTATCTCGTAATTTTTTAAAAGAATTCACAGAAGACACAGATGATGTTGAAGAAAATATAACTTCTGAAGAAGATATAAATGAAGCTGTAGAAATATTACCTGTTTCAGTCAGTAAAGGAAGACTAGCAGCAGCTACTCCCTCAGTAGTGCCACAATTTTCTCCAGTGGTCTAAAAACAAGCAAGCTCTTCATTAAAACGGAAGGAGAAAAAAGACGAGCCTTCATTCAACTGGACGACTGATGATTTTGAATATGAGGTAACAACAGAACAGAGTAATGATTTTACAAAACCCCAAAATATAAAAACACCTTTGCAATATTTTAAAACGTTTTTTAGTCCAGATATTGTTGAATTAATCGTAGAATAGACTAACCTGTACTCGACACAAATATTTCACAAATGTGTAGACACAAGTATAGATGAGATGCACGATTTCTTAGCTATCGAAATTTTAATGGGGATTGTTGACATGCCGGCGTACACGGACTATTGGTCTCAAGAGACGCGTTATGAACTTATTGCAAATGTAATGTCACTAAAGAGGTATCAAGCAATACGACGCAGCCTACATTTTGTCAACAATGAGGAGTTGAATAATGACAGATATTTCAAAATAAGGCCTATTTTAGATCGTGTACGAAGAAACTGTCTCACAATTGAATCAGAGTCTAGATGTTCAGTGGATGAAATGATGGTCCCATACAAGGGAAAAAAGGCAGGCTCGAGAAGACAATATGTGAAGAACAAACCAAAAAAATGGGGTTTCAAAATGTTTGTTCGTTGTGGCGTATCAGGGATAGTGTATGATTTCTTTCCCTATGGAGGAAACGATACATTTAGAAACCATCATTTTACGGATAAGGAAAATAACATGGGATTTGGGGCAAAATGTGTTTTAGCACTATGTTCAACAATCCAAAATAAACCTTTATCGACAGTTTATTTCGATAATTATTTTACAAGTTTAGAACTTATTACCTATCTTCGAAGTGACTTTGGAATACTTTCTTTGGGAACTGTTAGGAAAGACAGACTACGGGGTTGCCCACTTGAATCTGATAAGAAAATGAAAAAAGATGGAAGAGGTTCTTTCGACCAAAAAGTAGACAATGATAGTCGCATTGTCGTTGTAAAGTGGTACGATAACAAGTCCGTAACCTTATGTAGTTCATATGTAGCCTCCATTCCAATAGCAACCATACAGAGATTCTCCAAAACGGATAACAGGAAAATCCACATTCCATGCCCACAGTTAATAAAACACTATAACAGTCATATGGGTGGTGTGGATTTGGCAGACATGTTGATTGCTCTATATAGAATACGCTTTAAAACACATAGATGGTATATGAGCATTTTTTCTCAAATTATAGACATATCCATTAATAATGCTTGGCTACTATATAAACGTGATGCAAGCATTCTACAAGAAGATAAAAAAACAGTCATTCCTTTGAAACAATTTAGAATTAAACTTGCTAAAAGTCTACTGCAGGCTAACAAAATAAAAAGAGGACGTCCCAGCAATGAGCACTTCCTACTATCTTCAAAAAAAATTAAAAACCCGGTAAAGCCTAGACCCCAAGATGATATCAGATTAGATCATCTGGATCATTTTCCAGTATACGGTGCAATGGGCAGGTGCAGAAATTGCAAGAAGGGACAAACTGCTATATTTTGTAACAAGTGTAATATTAGACTATGTTTAGTGCAGAACAGGAATTGTTTTATGGAAGTTCACATTAATAAATAAATATTTTTGATTAAATATTGATAGTTCTTATTCATATTCCTGGTCCTTCATAATTTGGCAATGTATGATATGCTATACAGACCTATTTTTCGCTCTATTTGGCAATGTATACTCTGGTATACAATCCAAATTTTTGACATATAGTGTCATATTTTTTTTTGGCTGTTATAGAATATTTGAATGATGCCCAAACAGCAAACATAATAAATAAACTTTGAGTTTAAGACTTACCCGTTGTTTAAATTTACTTGTACTTACTGCCGTTAAGTGAAGATATTTTAAAAAAATCATCACAAAATAAAGAAATACTTCTGAATTTTTCATTATTAAATTCTTACAAATGGTTATTCAGTCTAATTTTCTTGTTAGTAATTGTTTGAAGAATTTTAATTAAAATATTACATATACTTATTACGATTTTTATTAGCAGCAAAAGTATTTTAGGTAATATGTGCACATTTTTTCTTCTCATTCAAGGAATAGTCACATTCGGCTTACGGTTTATTTTAGTTCTACAATTAAAAAGAAAATTAACCAAACACTCGAAAAAAGTATACCCATACGCCTGTATGCATCACCAATCGAATACAAAATATTGCAAAAGGATTATTTATTATTTTAATTCGACAGTTGCATTAGAGGTAAAGTCCAGGGTCGGGTTGATGAAATTTCTCCTAAACCAATGCTGAATATTAATTAGAAATTGCGTTATTCGATTGACAGTTTTGTACTAGAATGTTCTTAGGTGTGAAACTTATATACTATGAGATTACAAAGAAAAATATGTTGAGAAATTGTGATGAAATAATTAAAAATTAAATAGGTTTTAATCAAGGAGGTCAAAGCACTTTATTTTTCATTGCAAAAATGCTTATAACCTTCTAAAACATTAGTGTGTTAATGCATTTAATGGATATATAAAATTTGGTAGTATTAAATAAATTTTGCAAGAACTCTATCTACGTGTATTTATTCCATAAATTACTTAGATTATTAAGCTATAATAAAAACAGATTAGAGATTAACAGAAACAAATAAACAAAATATATGATTTTTTTTTAATGATAATAAGCGGTTTTAATAAAAAAAAAAAAACGTTTTATGAGACTACAAATGAGTCTCTAGTATCAAAACCCGACAAATCCACTGAGATCAAATGTTGGGAAATTCAAAAAAACTGTTTTGGTACGAAAGTTAAGCTTATGAATGTTCATATTTTTTTATTAGTTAAAAGATATGTTTCTGAATTAAAAATTTGTAATTGTTCTGGAAATATGTAAGTTTAAATAAAATTTAAAAAACAAAAATGGGCTTGTCGGGTTTTGATTTTTACTTACGGATTTGTTGGGTTTTGAAATAAACGTGTATGGAATTGTCGGAGTTTGAATTATATCTAGTAAAACACATAAACAAATATTGTGGTTTAATCATATAATTGGTTTTATTTTGACAAATAACTTTAAATTAAACTAATAAATCCGGAACTTCGTCAACTGATTCACACAAATGGTCATTGTTGATTATCTCTGAAATCTCATTGTCTTCAACATTATCATATTTTTTTGTAAATATCATCAAAGTATTTTAGAGTTTCAAGTTGTTGCCAATTTTCTCCCCAATGTGTTTCCAATAAGCTCTTTACATTCTCAAGTATACATACTTATATTCCCCCAGATCACATTTATAAGACTGTTTCCCTTTAATAGTTACAACTTTGCTTTTTCCACATCTTAATAGAAATCTTTTGCTCATAATTAATCGAAAATGCCACTGTTTAGGAGGTTTAAGTGTAGTTTGGAATTCTTTTTCCAGTCGTACACAATCATATCTTGACCCAAGATATAGAGATTCCATGGTCTTTAAAAATGTCAACTAACTCGTCTGGAGAAACGATGGTATCTTTTTTTTTTAATAACTTTTTCGATCTTTGCAAATACTTTGTCTGGGGGAATAAATGAGTGTCCAGCCACAGGGAATATAATCTCCAAGTGTTTTGTCAATGAACGTTCATCTACACTAACCCATTTAGTGCACATAGTTATCACGATAGAATTTTTATTTTGTCCTCCGCACCCATCTGCAACAAGTCGTACAGTGAGTATATCGTCGTCGAAGTTTGTATGGTAAAGCTTGTTTTAAATGGCACTGGCTATTTAGTATTGTATTATAACATAGTATTGAATTAATTTTTTTTTGTATCTTGCATTACCTGTTCGTCTTGACCGTTTTATAAAAAAATAAAAAACCTAAATTTTGATGAAACTGTTGAACATCTCGCATTAGAAGAGTAGAAATCTATATGATTTGGTAGTATGTTTACAAGATGGATACGATGGAAGATCATGTGCTTTGTATAAAAGAAAATAGTATTTAGCATTTTTTTTTTTGTTAAAAATAAGAATGGTTTGTTTACCATTCTTTTCCAAGTATCTGGCTGTGAAACATGTGTTTGACTTCTATCCGGAGTTACAGGTTTCGGACTCTGCCCTATAAAATTTTCCATAACTATTTTGATTTTAAAAATTTTTACGAACTAATTTTAGCTATAAAACTATTTTGATTTTATTCAAAAAATACAAATTTTGCCAGGCAAACTTTTATTACAACCAAACGTTTTAACAGTTTTAACAACACTAACAAACATTTTCACTGACGTCACTTTCTTACCTGACTGTGATTGACTGCTTAGGATCTGCTGGAATTTGATTTTAACATGTGCTTGGATTTGCTGGATTTTGAAACCATCCCAATATTTCAAATGCAAATTAAAATTAGATTAGGAGGGTTTTGTATCGGAAATTCAGTATAAACTTGTAGAGGGCAAGATTACAAATCGTTTAACATGAACAGCTCAAAATTCATAAAAAGTGGATTTGTCGGGTTTTGAAAATCAAATGTACTAAAAAGTGATAAAAAATTAGGATACCTTTAATAGAGTAATTAATTTCTATTCATATCTAATTTTGGTGGATATTAAAATATTCGCTGTACTTTCCATCTTTTTATTAAGTTTGCAATGAAGATTATTTCTGGGGGACTCTTTCCTTGTTATTGAGTATTTCAAATAAATTTTCTGATGCATTTGGATATCACAAGCAATATTGCTTTTTGCACTTAAACGTGTTAACCAAAACCAAATTTTTTAATATTCTATCGGATGCTCATCAGTATAATGGCAATAGTTAATATTATTATAGGTATAACTAAAAAAAGCTAATAAAAAACTGCAACTAAAAAAACTTCTCTAATTGTTGAAAATGCTGTCCAATTAGGTTTAAATACAAGTTAACTTTCTCTGCAATTCGGTCCAAAAAATCGTTTAACATTTGTAGTGAGTTGTTCATTTCACATTTTTCTATAATACGATTTCTCGGTGCTCCATGGAATTTTTTATATATAGTCATACAAAAGTTTTATATATGTTTAATTCCTAAGACCTAATTGGAAAATGGTGTTTCAGTGTTTTTGCTGATTAACCCATCATTAAACTGGAGTAGCTTGAAAAATAATAAGTACTGGTTTACTTTCACCTGCCAAAAAATCGGAAAATCTCGGAAAAATCAATTAATTATAATTATTATGAGTTATTAAATTTTACTATTATTTTATAAGAAATATTAATTGAAATTATATATTTATACAGGGTGGTTTTTAAGTAATTGCACAAAAAGAAAGAGTAGATTCTATAGTTTTAAAGATTACGATTTAAGCCAAGTTAATGTAATGAAATATTGATATAACGAAAGATACAGAGTGTTAAAGAGAAAATTTAAAATATGTTGGTGAATATTTATATGTATAAAAAAAATTTACAACTGGGTGTTCTTGAGCATAAGCAATTATAATTTAATGCACACTTTAGATAACGTAGATGATAGAGGGCGCCATACATGTTACGTATGTGGCATAAATTTGCACTTAACTTTTTGTGCTCTTTTTGAGTTAAGCTCAAGTTAGCGCTTTTTTTTGTAAAAAAATATTAAAGATACATTATTTTAACTAAAAAAAAAGGTATACTTTTTAATAACTTTATATTTGAACAGTTTTAGAGATAATCGCATTTTATAAAGCAGCTTCATAATAATTCTTAGTTGTAATATTTGTGAGGTAAAGTTCTGAATACTTGTGGATAAGCATAATTAATAGTTTATTCTCATAAAAACAACTCAAAGATGGTAATGTAACATCACAAAATACTTTTCTATTACTGCTAAATGTTTTATTGAAACGAAGCTTTTATCTTCTTCTTTAGGTGCCGTATCCGTATTCAGATGAAGTTGGTCGTCATCATGTTTACAATTTTCGGAAACCTTTCTCTATCGCTTCTATAGGCTTCTATAACCTTCACATCGAATTACTACTCTCCACCAATTCGTTTCTAGTCATCATTATTTTTTAACGTTGGTTGGTAATAAATTGCTTTCAAAAAATAATCAAATTTTATTTTAGAACATCTTATTTATTTTATATAATAAATAAATTTACTATCAAATTATTGATCAAATATTATTATTATTATTATCCCAGATTTAGCCATACGGCTCACACTCCCTCTAAGGGGAAAATTCACTCATCCCAGATACCTACGGTATCAAAAGGATTGAGCTCTGGTGGGACTCTTTCCGTGTTATCGAGCCCTAGGTGACTTGGTATGTCGGAGTATCTCCCAGAAATTTTCGTACACATCTGGAGGTCGCGAGGAGTACAGCTTTCTGCATGGCCTTATAAAGATGTTCATTTAGACCCAGCTGTTTTATGTTCACTAGGAGGTTCTTGGGAATAACACCAGTAGTAGATAGAACAATAGGTACTGTCTGGGTACTTTCCATTCTCCATTGTCTCTTGATTTGTATTTCTAGATCCCTATACTTGGCGATCTTTTCGTTGTATTTAACAAGCAAATTGTTAGTGTTAGGTATCGCCACATCAATAAGTGTTGTTTGCCTGGTAATTTTATTCACTAGTATGAGATCCGGTCTATTATGGGCCACTGGTTGGTCTGTGAGCACAGTGCGGTCCCAGTATAGCTTGTAGTTGTCATTTTCAAGCATTCTGTCAGGGACATATTGATAATAAGGAAGATGGTCGGTTTGGAGAAGTCCCAGTTTGTCAGCTAGTTCTTGGTGGATAATCTTTCCTACTGAGTCATGGCGTTCTCTATAATCAGTACCGACAAATGCCTGGCAGCCACCGGTAAGATGTTGGATGGTTTCTTGGGCTTGGCATCCATATCGGCATTTGTCGTTTTGGACTTGAGGATCTTTAACAATATATTTCAGGTAATTTTTAGTTGGAATAACCTGATCCTGAATGGCAAGTAGGAAACCCTCAGTCTCGGGAAACATCTTTCCTGATGTCAACCAATAGTTCGACGCTGTATTGTCGACATATTCTTGGTTGATCTCATTGAGATGTCGCCCATGCAGAGGTTTACTCATCCAGGTGCGCATTTTTTCTTGCTTAGTCAGATGGTTTGTGCGCATTTCTTGTTCCCTCAGTTTAAGCGGCGTTGTGTCATCTACTGCGCAAATTGCTCGATGTAAAGTAGATGTCTCAGCCTGTACCTGAAAATAAGATCTTAAATTAGCAATTTGTTTATCTAATTGCTCACCTATATCCATAAGTCCTCTTCCTCCTTGATACCGCGGTAATGTTGTTCTCTCTACTGCACTGCGTGGATGATGCTTTTGCGCCTTTGTGAGAAGTGTTCTTACTTTCCGCTGAAGACCCTCTATATCCGTTTTTGACCACTTTATAATACCAAATGAGTAGCTCAGCGCGGAACAGGCATACGTATTTAATGCCTTAAACAAATTTTTACTATTAAGATATGACCGATTTAGTTGTCTTATTCTTCGCACTAACTCCGAAGTTAGTTCAGTTTTCATCTGTTTATGGTCAATTTTCCGCGCCTGTTTTACTCCGAGATATTTGTAAATATCATTTTCACCCATTGCCTCGATGTTTTGGCCATCTTGCATATCGAAACCTCCGGGCTGAACCTTTCCTCTGACTATATTAAGTATACGGCACTTGTCTAGTCCAAAGTGCATACTGATATCATTTGAGAAAGTTTCTACAGTTTTTAGCATCTGATCTAAGTGATTTCGAGTGGAAGCCATTAGTTTTAAATCATCCATATACAACAGATGATTAAGCTTCGCCACAACAGTGTTGTTATTTTTGATGCTAAATCCTGAGTCAGTGGAGTTCAGCAGCTGAGATAGTGGGTTCATCGCTAGGCAGAACCAAAGTGGACTCAACGAGTCCCCCTGGAAAAGGCCCCGGTTAATAGCGATATCTTCAGTTTCGATATTGGTTTCACCAGGTATTTGAAGGTGAATTTTAGTCTTCCACTTTGTCATTATATGCTTCAAAAAGGTCACGAGATTATCATCGACTTTATATATTTTCAATATATCTATAAGCCATTCATGCGGCACTGAGTCAAAAGCCTTCTTGTAGTCAATTATTATTATTATTATTATAACTTAAGCGAGGGCAGAGGAACTAAGTCCCTATTATGCCCAAAAACAAAGAAATTTCATTAATCACCTACTAGTAAATAACAAAAATTACAAATAAAAGAAATAAAATTACAATTTTTCGGTTTAAAAGAAAAACAATATTTTAACTATAATATAAAACGGTCAAGTCTGTTTTTGAACGAGTTGGTAGAGGAAGAGGAGACAATGTTGTCGTTAAGGTTATTCCAGCACTCAACAACTCTATTTGGAAGAAAGTTCTGTCTT